TATTACTAATTAAGCAGCGACGCAACTTCGAAAAAACGCAAAACGAAACGACGCAGAGCGAGGTATTGGTGTATATACATTTCTCAGGTGTCGTTTATTACAGGTATTTACTGTTCGTTTATCGACGATGCTTTTACCTGGTATTCCGGTAAGCTCGGATGCATTAGAAGAGAGCTATGAACTTGGGTGATCTCTTTTTTCCTGAAGCTCTCGCGAAACTCTATTCGCCTCTCGATCACGCTGGCCCTTACGCTCGGTGGTGAGATTTGCACCGTATGACATAAAGCGAGGCATATCATAAAATGCCAAACGTCCGGCTAAAATAGTTTTAACAATTATGACAGTTCATAGGATTATGTAAATGAAACGAGAAAAAGGAACGACGTATCACCTCCCAGACGGTCAATCTGATCGCTTCCGCCTCATTCCCGCTGGGAGGCAACAGGTACAAGTGACCATCACAATCTTTCTCCATGTAATTCTTCCCGTTGATCGAGCAACGCCTGAACACCATCAGATTCTCGGTGAGCGTTCCAGTTTTGTCAGCGAATAAATAATCGACCTGACCGAGCTCCTCGTTTAAATCCGACGTGTTGGTCATCGCCGGCTGATCCGTCGCTTCGTCGTACATGTCTAAGTCCCAGCTGAAGAAAAACGAACTGAGGAATTTTTGTAATTCTGCAACGAGAACAATTAATCGGCGATTGTCAGCTGCTTTCTAGTCACGTGAATCGAGAAACGGATTTCATTTCACCGGACGGACGACCCCGTTCCCTTCTTAATTTTACGCGCAATTTTAATATGTATATACATATTCTGCACATGGCGAATGACTTAATTTCTGTTCACGATTTCTATTCAATCGCATGTTTTTATAATTTTATTTATATTGTATGAATGTATGAATGTATTTGAATGTATATGTATTATAATAAAAAAACTCTGGGACCTTTAACAGATCCAATAAAAATTTTACGAGATCAGAAAAAAAATAAGCCAGTAAGTAGAATTGTGATCTGAACAGAAATTAGGGTATTCACTATGTTACGAATAGACTACAGATTTTATGCAAATCGGATGTGCAAGATAAAATGTAATGAACGACGTTTTTTATAATTATAGGCACCATGTTTGATGTCAGCAATTTAAGCATTTTTTTTTAGTATAACTTGGTCACCTTTAGTTATTTTTGTATGAAAAAATTATTTTACACAATTAATTCATTGGCAAATATATTCATAAAGTTTAAAAAAAATTCCCAAAAATGATCTAAATTTTAGGCAGTCACACTGGTAAGTCCTCTTAATTATTAGACTGCACTTTTATGTAGAAAATCTGCAGTCTATTAATTGTAAAGATAATTTATTCATTAGTATAGAAATGCTTTTACCTATGGTAACGTACAATGATATGGGCACGGTGTAATTGTACAGAACGGTGAAGTTGAGAAAGTCTAAGATCACCGAGCCTACGTTGATGGACTCTTCAGGGCCGAGGTATGGCAATTTGTACGTCGATTGAAACACATTCTTCATAATGCAGGAGAATATCACTTCGAACGTTAATATCGTGATGAATAATAAAATCTGTTTATTAATAGACCTGCAATTAAATCCGATTCAGCACACTTTCTTACTATTACGAGACTGCGGATTTTTATGCAAACGATGGCACATATGATAGTAAAAAAAAAATTCACTTTCTATAGATATTTATTTTATTATTTAAGTATTGCAATTTGTATTTAATTTTGATATTTCTATTTTTTGCACGATTTTTTCAAAAACGCATAAAATCCGCAGTTTAATTATTATGAAAATTGATGGTAAATTTGATTTTAATTTACTTCTCGACTGTGGAGAATTTCGTGCTTCTGATCTTCGAATTGAGAGACAATTTGCTGTCGTGGCCGGTGTAAACCGCGCAGCCGACGATGTAGTCAGTGTCTTTCAATCTGGACCCACGGAGCAATAAATTATGGGTCGTTAAGTGTCCACTGACTCCATGTTGAATCGTATTCTTAATCTCGATTTTCCCATGGAAGCTGTACAAATCGGACGAGGGATGCTGGCACGTGATGAGAGCCTCCATAGACACAATCTCCGGCAAGCTGAGCCGAGTGATCGGCTTCGGAACCAGCAGTGTCTAATTCAAACATTGTGTCATCATTTTTCCAGATTTGTGCATTAAAGTTAGAATTTAATTAAATAAAAAAAATTAACCCTTTCGCTACGAACGGAGCACCGCACCGAAAAATCTACACATTGCCGACTATAATTATATT